ATTTTAACGGTCAGCATTCAAAGTGAAAGTATCATCACTTCAAACTATGAAATTGTGATGGTGTTGATAATTCATTGTCGATATCGTTAAGGTGTTACGGATGCATATAAATTATTAAATTCAAAATGTCAAGTTCAATATTGTTATTTTATAGATTTTTTGTCGAAATTAKACCACATCTRAACAAAGTCTGAGGCTTCATRCWGATTTATGTCCACGGTATACTTGTCTAACAATCTTCGAGTTGTGTCGCCATTGGCGGCTTGATTCCTTAGTTATGGTGCTCCGCTATAATAGTCTTAAGGGTGTACTGACATATCCGTTGCTACGGAAATTCAGTAGTTCTCTAAATTGACAAACAAAAGTAAAATCGCTCTTCCCAAACAAAAATAACACATTCTATGACGTCATTGTATGACGTCATCGCGTGACGCCATTAATACGAAAAAATGCTATAATTTCATCAAGCAAAGTATATTAAACGATTTAAAATGGATGAAATTAATCTTTAGATTTAMTATAAGTCCGTAAAGCCAAGCATGTGTTTTTAGAATGATTGCCAAATAAGCTTTTTCAGGGGCCCATTTAATACTAGGAGCCTTCCTCTTCTTCATAAGCTCTTGGAACGGCATTTACCCTTCTTGGTGCTATTTTTAGAATTGCTCATTATAAATTCAGCGCAAAACAGCCAATCAGAAAGCGACTTGAACAATAGGTTTCTGAATGACCGACGGCCGCCGGTCGACCGCCGGCGAGGAAGATCTTAGTACTAGACTATTTCAAAATTCATTTTCAGGATGTTTAAAGTTAACTTTTAGTAGAAATATGTCCCAAAAAAGGAAAGCAGAATCACCTTTCGCTTCATGTTTAGCCGATGAGGAAGCCAGTGATAGAAAACAGGTGTAATTACTCTTGGGAATACAGGGGAAAATCTGGAGAAAAAACAACCAACAATTAAGCTTATGAACTTTTCATTGAGCAGCCGAAGACCAACAAAATTCATTGGACAGCAAAAATAACACAAATCGACTCAAATCACACTCTGGATCTTTAACTGATAACCAGAATTTCAAAAATCAAATGGCTGTCGAAGACGAGGAACGAAGGTTCAAATTGTAGAAAAGCGGAAAATTTTCAACTTGAGCAAACTTGAGCATGACTGAAGCAAGTAACTTAAGCTTGCAAATTTGTACATGCAAATGGACATTGAATGAACT